AGCCCGTAAGAAAAGATGTTGTTTTCCTTTCTGTCCAAACAAAAATGCATTCCTCAGATGGAAAGAGAAGCTTGAGCTATTCAATGACTATCCCCAAAGAAGTCTCCTTTATACTAAAAAAACTGATTTGAAGACTAGAAAAATTCAGTCTCATCTGTTAGGTGATGTTGGGTGGCAGGAAACACTGTCAGCTTCTTAAGTTCATGCAGCATTATGGGTGGTAGCAGAGTTGTGCTATGGGGACCAGGACTGGGAGTTTTGTCAGGTGAGAAAGGACTGGAGCGGTAAGCCCAGAGGGCAGAGAGCAGGTCCTGGGAAGTGAGTTATCGCCAAGAGGAGTGGCCAGGCACCCCAGGCTGAAATAGGGAAAGTTTGGAGGTTGTGAGGCTAGGCTGTGAGTGTTTGAGGGTGTGGGCTCTAGAATCAGACAGATCTAGGTTTGAACTCTGACTCCACTTCCTGCTGCTTACATTAACTGGTCAAGTCACGTGATTTCTCTTAGCTTCCATTTTCTCATCTCTAAAATGGGAGCAACCTTCTACAGGTGTGGGGGGAAAGATAATGTATAAAAAGTATTATCATAGTAACCTTTGGTGCATAGTAACTGTTCACTAAGTGGTGAGAGGTCAGATGCCTGGAGTGAGGAGCAGAGAGAATACCCTAGACCAAAGTCTGGGCAGCCAAGGCTAGGATCCAGTCCAGGGGTGTGGCTAAGGTCCAAACGAGTCACATGGAATTTGAAATTACAAGAAAGTTTTGAGGGTCCACAACTATCTAAGGTCTTGCTGTCCCAAGCCAGAAGTGGTTTAGATTAGGTTCCTTGAGGGCAGGAATAGTGTCTGGGTCTTTCGGGATGTGTGTTTGTGTGTGTGTGTGTGTGTGAATTACCATTAACTCCTAGTGCCTGGTCCTGGCCTGACACTCATTTAGTCAACAAATAGCCCCCTTTACATATGTTATTTAATTTAATCACCATATGCTATATATCAGGTATTATAATCCCCATTTTTAATATGAGAAAACTAAGGGTTAGAATGGTTTAGTAATCTGCCTAAGGTAATGCAACAAGTTAGGGTCAGAGGCATGATTCAAACTCTGTTCTATCTAACATCAAAGACCATGCCCTTTGCACTGCAAACTAGGGATGTCTACCTGAAGTGACCATCCTGTGTGTGCACAGACAATGCAGTAGATACCAGCTGGGGGTGGAAGGGGGGTGACAGAACACTTTCCTTAGTGGCGGAGGTTATCCCCTCACTTTTCTTAGTAACTGTGCTATCCATCTGCTACGGTCTGAATGTTCATGTTCCTCCAAAATTCATGTTGAAATCTAATCCCTATTGTGATGACATTAACAGTAGGGCCTTTAGACTTTGCCCTCAAAAATGAGATTAGTGCTCTTATAAAAGAGGCTTGAGGGAACCATTTGCCCCTTTCACCATGTGCAGTCACAGTGAGAAAGTGCCATTTTTTAAGGAGAGTGTGAGCCTTCACCAGGCACCAAATCTGCTGGTGCCTTGATCTTGGAATTCCCAGCCTCCAGAGCTGTAAAGAATACATTTCTGTTGTTTATAAATTACCTGGTGTAAGGCATTTTGTTCTAGCAGCCCAAATGAACTAATACACCTTATCATTATTTGTTAATAAATTTACTCATTTATTAACAAACAGCCCTTGCCCTACTAATCATAGGGGTATTATAGGTGCATTACTCAGGCTACGTCAGTTATATTATATTATCAATAATATATCATTTCCCTGTCCTTAGGGATTATCTATGTATAATCATGTAGTTCAAGTAAGCCAAGAGCCCTTCCCTGGAATTTTCAACTACACCTGGAAGACAGAAGTTCTCTTTCCTTTAGGATCATTAAGCTAGGAGGCTGCAAGCCCAGAGTGGTCTGTGCCATGTACCTTGCTATGTGAAGAAATTCTACTTGTAACAAAGTGAATGAAGCCAGAATGCAGAAAAGACCAGAGACAAGTTGGACAGACAAAGTCCCCAAAGCATTTGAGTCCCTAGATATACATATCCCTAAGACTAGCTCCATCCTTTCTCTTTCCATGGCTATGTAAGTCACAGGGAGGAAGATAATGTATATAAAGTATACAAAGTACACATAATATATACTTTATGCAAAGTATATATTATACTTTGGTATACAAAGGTAATACATTACCTAGTTTACCATGGCAGAGCTGGATATCTGTCATTCTCAAGCAAAGAATCTAGATAGTTTCCCAATAGATGGAATATATATATGAAAACACTTTCAGTAAAATTTTTATATGACTAGTAGGATAACTAATCACTAAGTGGTGAGAGGTCAGATGCCTGGAGTGAGGAACAGAGAGAATACCCTAGACCAAAGTCTGGATATTGATCTAAACTTGATCCAAAACTTGATTTCTAGGTTTATTTCTTGAGGATGTTTTTCAATCTATGGTTTCCCCTTTTTAAAGAGGTTTTTCAGAGTAGTAGGTAGCCTATAGCTATAGGCTGGTGATTCCCAAAGAAAGACATCAGACTTCTCACTGAGAAAATACTTTAGGACCAGAAAACAGTATAGTATCAGTATTAATTCATATAGGGAAGATTATTTTGTAAGTGCCATTTAAATATTTCTTTTTAAAGCAATCTTATAGCTTTAAACCTTTTTTTCTACACAGATGTGGAGTACATTTGATGGGTTTCTAACAATGTCAAATTCATGACTTCTACTTTTAAGTCTGTGATATTTAAGATACTTAAAAAGCATTTACATTTGAATCCAGTTATTAGACATGATGGCCAAATTATATTTTAGATGAAACATTCCCTAAATTAGCTGCTCCCAACTATATTTATGAGAAAACTTTATATTGTGACAATATATGCAAATTCTATTCCTGGTAAGGTGATGACATTGCTAATAGCAGAGAACAGTGGCGTGACAAGTCTATTTTCTGACAGGAAATATGAAGAAACACTTGCAGTTGAGGTTTTGTTTGCCCTTAAAGTTAATAAATTGCATGATCTAATAATAATTAATTGTGCCTTCCCTCCATCATAAAGCTCTTAAAGCATTTCTCAATCAATTAGCTGCTCAGGGACATTATTATTACTGGACATTTTGCAAAATGAATGTGTTCAGAGTGAATACAGAGTAGACTTTACTGCAGAGCAGCTCAGGGTGGGCCTACGTCACAAGCTGAGCAAGCAGGCTTTGAAGCTTATAAGGAAAGCTTTCAATGTTTCACTAGCTTACTGGCAAGGTTTCTTGGTCCCTTGCTTTTATTTTTAACGTATTGCTCTTCTCATTACTTATGCATTGCCCATTAAATCCAGCGCTGCAGCTGAGGTCTGGTTTTTCTACATTTCCAAGTTGCATTGCTGGATTGCTGTCTTTGATAAGATAAGCTAAATATATATGCCCAACTAGTGCAAAGTCCAATACTGCATAATTATCCAGTATATTTGGTTGGCACAGGCTAGCAAAGCCAGGTGATTTAGGTCAGAATGTATTTTAGATTAAGGTCATGCTGGAAACCCACAAAGATTTATGGGCCAGATTGAAACATTCAAATGCCACCAACTTCTGTTCTGGCCCACTGAGAGGTTGTTGAAGCCCTACACGATTAACTATTTGCTCATAGCAAAAGGTGGTAAAATGATGTGGTACAATTTCCCCAGCACCTTTACATGTAGACTCTGCCTGTGACTTCTTTGGTTTACATGGTATTTAATTTACATGGTATGTTGAATCAAACACAGGTCTTTTTGTAAATCCTCCAAAAGGGAGTTTTGAGGTTGCTTGAAAGGCCTTCCATCACTTACTTGATTATCTGGAGGCTCTCAACCTGACTGGTATTCTGTTTTATATTTAGTAGTTTAAATAAAGGAAGGCCCCAGGAACCTGGGATGCCCTATGATGCCAAACTGAGTTATACTACTCGGCTCTCTTCTCTTAGCCTCTACCTTCAGGTGACAGAAAGGCCATGGCTTAGCAATCAGGAACAGTACGATAGGCTGAATCATGTGCCCGCTCCCCAAAGATGTTCATGTCCTAGTGCTTGGAGCCGTTGCATGGCACCTTACATGGCACAAAAGTACTTTGCAGATGAAATTAAGTTACAGGTCTTGAGATGGGGAGATTATCCTAGATTATCCAAATGGGCACTAACTACAATCACCTCTATCCTTTTAAGAGGGAAGCAGAGGGAGATGTGACATCGACAAAAAAGAAGGCGAGGTGGCCACAGAGGCAGAGACTAGAGTCATGCAGCCACAAGTCAAGAAATGCCCAGCAGCCACCAGGGCTGGAGCGGCAAGGAATAGGTTCTCCCCTGGAGCCTCTGGAGGGAGCCTGGCCCTGCCAACACCTTGATCTGCAACTTCTTTCCAGCCTCCAGAACTGTGAGAGAGGAAGTTCTGTTGTTCTAAGCCATCAACTTGCTGTAATTTGGTATAGCAGCCATAGGAAACCCATGCAAACAGTGAAGTATAAGCGGGGAGAGAGGAAGATCCTCGGTCATGCCAGGACCTGCCTCAAGTTAGGAAGTGTAGAGAATATACTGTGGTCCAGGACTGGCCTCCAAAAGAGCCTCAGACTGACTGTTTGGGTCCAACACAAAAAAATTTTTAGTGGATTAAAAAAAAAAAAAAAAAAAGAATGTGAGCCTGAGACTGATGGTAGGAGTTTGGGGACTTCACAAACCTTGGGTTATACCCCAAACTACAGACTGTCCATTCACTCAAATCTGGAGTTGCAGGTGTACAAATTGCTAAATGCTAATGGTCTGTGGAGGGATGTATTTATCTGGCTTTCCTTTATCTCAGCTTTGCTTTTATCTGACAGAATTTCACTGTCAGAGTTATTTTATCTATTTCCCCTCCTCTGTTTTTGGTGGGAGACTTTTTTACAGCATGGTTCTTGAAATTGCATAACTGAATACTGAAAATCTTCACAAAACCCAGCATCTTGCTAGGCCTTTTGGGCAAAAAGAAAAGCCTGGCATCGGCAGTGAAGGAAGATGGCAGCCCAGAGCTTCCCCACGCCATTGCACGGGCACGTGAAAGGCGGTGCCTTCAGCGACGTGTATGAGCCCGTGGAGGACGTGTTTCTGCTTCTGGACGCTATCCAGGTAGCGGCTGCTGAGCTGGCGGGAGTGGAAATACGCCTGGAAGTAGGGGTCTGGTGTAGTATCTGCATTCCTAGCCTCTATGATAGGTCCTCAGGCTTTGTACATGTGCACTGATATCAACCCTGAGGCAGCAGCTTGTACGCTAGAGACAGCACGCTGTAACAAAGTCCACATTCAACCAGTTATTACAGATTTGGTCAAAGGCTTGCTAGAGATTGAAGGAAAAAGTTGATCTTCTGGTGTTTAATCCCCCCTATGTAGTGACTCCACCTGAAGAGGTAGGAAGTCACAGAATAGAGACAGCTTGGGTTGGTGGCAGAAATGGTCGGGAAGTAACGTGCAGGCTTTTCCCCCTGGTTCCAGCTCTCCTTTCACCAAAAGCATTATTCTATTTAGTTACCATTAAAGAAGACAACCCAGAAGAAATTTTGAAAATAGTGAAGACAAAAGATCTGCAAGGAACCACTGCACTTCCCAGACAAGCAGGCCAAGAACCTCTTTCAGTCCTCAAGTTCACCAAGTTCTAGCATACAATGTGTGCCCAGAGCTACTGGAAACTGAATGCATTTAGCATATCTTGAAACTGAAGTCATTCATTAGGTAAAAAGGAATTTTATCAGAAATTTGTCACTGAAAAAAAGGTAGAAAGGTAGAACATTCCCTTTCACTCAGGCCTGTGTAATTATTTGCACAAGTACAAGTAAATATGTATATTATATTTATAATTTGCATTTTAAATATAAAAGTTATGTATGAAATATTTATTTCAGCATTATTTAGTAAGGTGACAGAATTGATCTGGCAAATGTCTTTTTTTTCATACCAGTCCATAAAGGCAGTTTGCTTTCAGATGGCAGGGCCAGCAATACACCTTCATTGTCTGGTGTATATAAACTCTCCAACTCTATGTCATGATTTAGTTCATGGGGATATTGATTGCCTTTCCCTTCCACAAAATATTACACTGATTCGTTATATTGATGACATTATGTTGATTTGACATAGTGAGCAAGAAGTAGAAACTACACTAGACTTAGTGGAAAGACATTTGCATCAGAGGGAAGGAAATAAATATGACTACAATTCAAGGACCTTCTACCTTAGTGAAATTGATAGGGATCCAGTGACATGGGGCATGTTGGAATATTTCTTCTAAGGTGAACAATAAGTAGTCGCATCTTACTGCACTTACAGCCAAGAAAGAGGCACAATACTTAGTGGGCCTGTTTGGGTTTTGGAGGCAACATTTTCCAATTTCATTATGATACTCCAGCCCATTTATCCATTGACTCAAAAAGCTGCTAGTTTTGAGTAGGGCCCAGAACAAGAAAAGTCTCTGCAACAAGTCCAGGCTGCTGTGCAAGCTACTCTGTCACTTGGGTCATATGATCCAGCAGATCCAGTGGTGTTTAAGTGGCAGTGGCAGATAGGGATGCTGTTTAAAGCTTCTGGGAGGTCCCTATAGGTGAATCTTGGTTTAGGGTTTTAGAGCAAAGCCCTGCCATTATCAACAAATAACTAATCTCTTTTTGAGAAACAGCTCTTGGCCTGATACCGGGCCTTAGTAGAGACTGGTACTTGAGGAGTCACCAAGTTACCTTGCAACTTGAGCTGCCCTTCATGAACTGGTTGTTATCTGAGCCACTAGCACACAAAGTTGGATATGCACAGCAACACTCCATCATCAGATGGAAACGGTATACACATGATTGGGCCTGAGCAGGCCCTGAAGGCACAAGGAAGTTACATGAAGAAGTAGGCCAAATTTCCATAGTCCCCACTTCTGCTATCTGCCTTCTCTCTTCCAGCCTGCATCTGTGGCTTCGTGGGAACTTCCCTACGATCAGCTGACAGAGAAAGAGAAGACTTAGGCCTGGTTTACACAGGGTTCTGTATGATATGCAGGTACCGCCCAAAAGTGGACAGCTGCAGCACTACAGCTCATCTCTGGGCTATCTTGAAGGACAGTGGTGAAGGGAAATCCTCCCAGTGGACAGAACTTTGAGAAGTCCCCTGGTTGACTTTGCTTAGAAGGAAAAATGACTAGATATTCAATTATATGCCAATTCATAGGCTGTGGCCAATGATTTGGCTGGATGGTCAGGGAGTTGAACATAACTGGAAAATTGGTGACAAAGAAATTTGGAGATGAGGTATGTGGATAGACACTGAATGGGCAAAAACGGTGAAGATATTTGTGCCCCATGTGAGTGCTCACCAAAGGGTTAGCAAAGAAGGATTTTAATAAAGTGGACAAGATAGCCTGTTCTGTGAATACCAGTAAGCCTCTTTCTCCAGCCACCCCTATCATCACCTAATTGTCTCATGGACGAAGTAGCCATGGTGACAAGGATAGAGGTTATGCATGGTCTCAGCAACGTGGACTTCTACTCACCAAGGCTGACCTGGCCAAGGCTACCTTTGAGTGCCCAGTCTGCCAACAGACACCAACACTGAGCCCCTGATATGATACCATTCCTTAGAGTCATCAGTCAGTTGCCTAGTGGCAGGTTAATTACATTGATCCACCTCCATCGTTGAAGGAATGGTGTTTTGTCCTTACTGAAATAGAGCTTACTCTGGATACAGATTCACTTTCCCTTTGTGCAATGCTTCTACTAAAACTACCATCCGTGGACTTAGAGAATGCCTCATCTACGACCATAGTATTCCACACAGCATTACAAGGAACTCAGTTCACAGCAAAAGTGTGGCCATGGGCCCATGCTCGTGGAATTAACTGGTCTTACCATGTTCCCTAATATCCTGAATGAACTGGCTACATAGAGCAGTGGAATGGCATTTTGAAGACAGTAGTAGCACCAGCTATATAGCAGTGCCTTGTAGGGCTGGGACAAGGTTTTCTAGAAGGCTGACTATGCTCTGAATCAGCATCCAGTATATGGTGCATTTCTCTTATGACTGGGATTCACAGATCCAGGAATCGAGGGGTCAAAATAGGTGGGACACCATTCGCTATTAGCCCTAATGACCCACTAGTAAAATTTTTGCTTCCTGTTCCCATGACTTACGCTCTGCTGGCCTAGAAGTCTTACATAGGGTGGAATGTTTTCCACTGAGAGACACAATCATGATTTAATTGAACCGGAAGTTTAAGACTGCTCTTCAGCCATTTGGGCTTCTCATGCCTCTAACTCAATAGACAAATGAGTTACAGTGCTGGCTGGGTGATTGTTCTACCAAGTAGAAATTGGACTACCCTGAATGGTGGTAAGGAAAACTATGTCGGAATACACGAGATACCTTAGGGCATCTCTTTGTGTTACCATGCCCTGTGATTAAGGTCAGTGGAAAACTACAATCTAATTCAAACAGGACCACTAATGACCCAGACCTTTCAGGAATAAAGGTTTGGGTCACCACTGGGTAAGTGCCATGACCAGATGAGGTGCTTGCTGAAGGCAAAGGGAATACAGAATAAGTGATGGAAGAAATACTAGCTTTGATCGTATGACCAGTTACAGAAACACAGACTGTGATTGTTGTAAGTATGTCCTCCATATTTTGCTATGACTCCATTTTCTGTGTGTGTAGCATTGTTTTCTTTCTTCTCATTTCCTTATTCTGTAACATAAGCTGCATTGATTTTAGAGCATAGTGTTTAAATATTGTTAATTTTTAAAACTGGCTCCAATGTTCAACCTTGATTTATTTTACATCATAGTATTTAAGTTATGGGATGATATCTTAAATACTATGAGAGAGTAAATATCATATGAAGACTTTACCTTCTCTTCTGGGAAATGGGTTGGTGTGTTTCTGGTAGAATGCTGGATGGTTAATCATGTTAGATGGAATTGTGACCTTGTTATTGTCTTTATGTGGCAGTTATGTATGGTTTAAGGAGATGTGTATGGGTGCCAAGTTGATAAGGGTAAACTTGTGATGGTTAATTTTATATGTCAACTTGAGTAGGCCACAGGGTGCCAGATATCTGTTTAAATATTATTCTGGAGTGTCTTGAGTGTGTTTACAGAGGAGATTTGCATTTGAACTGGGGGACTCAGTAAAGGAGATTGCCATCCCCAAGGTGGGTGGGCATCACCCAATTTGTTGAGGACGTAAATAAAATAAAAGGCAGAGGAAGGAAGAATTCACCCCTTAAAAAAAAGAAAAGAAAAGCCTGGCATCCTGGTTACCTGCCTGGTTGGAGTAGACCTCCTCCCTGAGCCGTGAGCCGTGCTGGGAAGTGGTGTGCCCCTGGGGCAAGAGGGCAAATGATCCTGGAGCACCGTGGAGGAGAACTACCTGGCCATCCCTGGGGTTACGCAGAGTCTGGATATTAAATAACGTGTCTACTATGCAGAGGCTCTAACTTCTGACAAGAAGCCACTGGGGAAGCATCGATGTGCTGCTCACAATTAGGGGCTGGTGAAAATCCAGCCGAAAGGAACGAAGTGATTCTGAGGACAAAATAGCTCAATCAAGTGAAAAGTGATTTCAAACCTGACATCAGCCTGACAGTAGCAACTGGGTTCTTATTATTATCTGCTTTTGAACCTCAGTAGGAGAACTTGCCTACCTTTGATACTGTAAGCAGGATCCTTCATGTTTAAAGATTAAAGCAGCTTTCTGGCTTGTTAGAAAGAAATCGCATGGGAATGGGTTTCACAGCCAGAAGCTGAGCTCTCTCAAAAGGATGTCACTCTGCAGCAAGATTATCTCCCCCTTCCATGAATACCAAAAAAGCCCCTGATTAATTCTTTCCATTAGGAGCCCCATGTCCCACTACTGTTAGATTTAGGATTGAAACAATATAGTCTGATTACCACTGTGTCCTGTGCAGTTTAGATTGTAAGTGTGAGATGTGAAATGTAAGAATTTTTTTTTTTTAACATCCTGTCACTCCAGATGAGAATATACTTTGGAAGTGAAATTAGAAACAATGCAATGCTGATTAAGGACTAGGACTCTCACACAGCCCACCGTGACAAGATTTTGATTGGCATTATGTAATTAAAGGGTACTTTAAATGGTTGCTAAACATAACGAGCTACAAAAAGGTGACAGAAGAATAATTTTAACATAGGAATTTTTAAAAAGTTATTCTCATTCATAATATGTATAAAACACCTGATCGAACATATAAAATTAAATCTGTAGGGTGTGCTGAAAGGGTTATATTCTACAGTTTTTCTTGGAATATATTTTTCGTTTACATGAAGGGTTATATTCCAAAGTTTTTTGTGGAATATATTTTTCGTTTACATAAAGCAATACTTTCTTTTTTTTAGATGGAGTCTTGTTCTTGTTGCCCAGGCTGGAGTGCAATGGTGTGACCTCTGCTCACTGCAACCTCCGCCTCTGGGGTTCAAGCCTTCTGAGTAGCTGGGACTACAGGTGCCCACCACCACATCCTGCTAATTTTTTGTATTTTTAGTGGAGACAGGGTTTCACCATGTTGGCCAGGATGGTCTTGAACGCCTGACCTCAGGTGATCTACCTGCCTTGGCCTCCCAAAGTGCTGGGATTACAGACATGAGCCACTGTGCCCAGCCTTACATAAAGCAGTAATTTAAGGCATACTGTATTTACAAGAAATTGCTAGTTAATGTGTATAAATCATTAGGGAAAAGGGGAAGTTTTGAGATATAAAACAATATTTTAGAGGATAAATACCAATATGCCTTGATTTATCCCTCCTGCGATAGTATTTACTGAATATAATTAAAATAATTCAAATTTTTAATTGTTTTACTGTCCATAAATTATCCTCAATCAAAATGTTTAATTGTTAGCTAATTTGAACATACTAATATGGTTGGGGGGAGGTTTGGTCTGAGAGAGGGGAACAGAAACAGCCCCAAATGCTTCCTCCTGCTCCCTAA